CTACGTAGTAGCAAAAACCAACCAGCACTGTTCAAACCAAGTCATAGGAGTAAAATAATTTTAAATGGGACTAGTATCACTATTTATCAATTATCTGAGAATTTAAATAAAATTCAATAGGAAAAACACAAAATTGATACATTGGTCGTCATTATTTAACGTCGTTTTATATTTTATATTATTATTATTATTATTATTATTTTCAATTGACACGTAATACGCCATGCACGATCCACATATCTTATTATAATACTATCATGATAATGAAGCTATATTGTACTTATACGAGTATGTCTAAATAAATATAAATTAACACGTTTTTTAGCCCAAAAATTATAAATCAATCAAGTGTATACAACATGAACTTTTTGAATAAAATTTATCTCTTACGTACTTATTCAAATTAAACACGATATTTTTAACAGATCACTGTTTATTAATTATTGTATATGTATTATAATACACAAATTGCAATGAATGTAAATTAAAAACATATTGGATCAATATAAATTTATTAAAGTACGAATAATTTAAGTAAAAAGATGAAATTTAGCTTAGGAACGTATTAAATTGATTTGCAATTTTTCCGAAATACGCAGTTTAGTCATAAGTATATAATAAACAAAAATCAAACTTGTTATTCGCGTTTAAAATTAAAACTCTAAAATGAAATTTTTTGATTTAAAAAAAAGTAATTTAAATTTAAATACTTACAAGAACTTATATTTTAATACTTAAAATATATATTTAAACATATGATTACAATACTTACAATAGTTGCTGTCAGTGCCGTGCCTAGGGGGAGTGAGAGGTTGTATGCATCGGGCACCATGACCACCAGGGCGCCAAAAGCTTTTTATAATATAAGTAATATTACTGAAAGATGAAAATTAACCATACCAGTTTATATTTTTTAACACTTTTAATATATTAATATCATTTTAATCGCATCGTTGATTCATTATTTTGACTGGCGATGAAATAACGTTTTGAAATGTATTGTAGGCAATTATGTAAAAATAGCTCTTCATGTATAGATATAATTGGTTTTTATTTTTATCCCAAAATAACGACATGGTTAATTGTCAATAACAATAATATACTATAAATATATATATATACTGGCATACTGCATTATTATTGTTATTTTATATAATTAATTTAATAACAGAATATCGACTGGAACAAGTTGTACGATTTTATTTTGAAGTTTTGAACCCATCTATGATAGTGTTCACATCAATCATTGCAGAAGTAGGTACAAAATTATTTTTATTAGCATTTATTTATTTAAAATGAGTTATTTTTTATGCACTCGAACAAATTTGATTTGTAAATAAATAACACCGGTTTAGTATGATAGGTACTTATTTACCAATATTTTTTATTCTACACAGTACATTTACAATTTGAATATTATATTACTAACCTTAAGTTAAAAATATGCAAAAAAAGGTAAATCTAACGAATCTCTCTCCCTTATCCTTATGTAATCTCTTTATAGGTATAAACGTACTTGGTAGAGGGAATAAGGGCGCTAAAATTGATTCTTGGCACCGGGTACTGATAATGCTAGCCACGGCACTGGTTGCTGTACTTAAACTGTAACTTCTAACTACTGTCACGTAAAGCTTTAAAATATATTTCAATATTATGGAATAACGAGCTTTAACTGTTGGATTCTATATCCTATTCCATACGAGAATGCACCGCGTCGCTCAGGGTTATCAGTGACGGCCCCACCAAAAGACTATTAATTGTTTCTGATTAGTCGATAGTAGCTGTAACTGTTGGAAGGAGGAGGCATGCACGGATTTCGACCAGTTTTCGTCCACCGCCTGGTGTGTTCTCATTTGGAATAGGATATAGAAGCATTAGAAGATTTAGAAGCCATATTTAATTAACTTATAATTCAACTGAATTATGTTAAAAATGCAACCAATTAATAGTTTATTTAATATATAATTGTTTTAACCATTTTTTTCTTATTTTTCAGTTATAAAATTATGTTTTAATGTATTTTTATAATACCTATTATCTGAGCGCGATGAAAAAAATAAAAAATATATTAATCTGTCAAAAACTGTAATAATTACTCATACATAAATCAAAACATAAACAAAATTAATTTGTGTGTGTCGATATTTTTATGTTGACATATGCACACACACTAAATGTGTAATTTATTTTTCGATACGATACGCACGTCTAAAAGTGATTCCGAGGCTAAATAATTGCTAACGTGTAAATTAGTTGCATTTGAACATCTAATGTTAAATTTAGAAACAAACACAGCTCACATATTAACTTAGTTTTCAAAATTAAATTTTCATAATTTATTAAACACGCTTCAGATTTATTATCAGGCTCTAAAATTAATAGTAACTGACAACATTATAAAGTTTTGGGCATATCGATTTGATAAACGATAATTGTATTGACTATTATATAATATGACCAAATTTATATCATGATCATTTTTTTATTAACTATGAGTAGAAGCGTATAAACATTTAATTTTAATCTGAAAATCAATCATTATATACATTTAAGTACCTGTGTACCACGTACACTAAATCTCACTTTTTCATTACAGCAATATATCTCAGATATTTCTGTACATTATATACGATTTTCTCGGTAAAAAATAAAATATTTTCATACTGATATAGTTGTCACATTTGCTTAGGGTTTGTTTTAACTTAAAAAATTTATAGAGTGCCTATGTAAATATGTATAATTTTCTTTTCGTAAATATCAAAAATGTTCAATAAAATAAAAACTATATTATTTATTATGTTATGATAAAAATATAATGTACCTTATAGTTTGTTTTAAAAATTAAAACTAAAGTAACGTAAAATTCTTTAATTTCAAAAATTGTTTATAATCATTTTAATTTCTAAAAAATTGTTTAACATCACATTTAAACTTGAAATCATAATATTTTATTCTCGGGTATAATATATTTATTTTGAACATTTGCGAAAATACTATATTATATAACTTGTTAGTACCAACTACGATTTAACTAATAATTTATACTTGTGTAAAATCTTATCCCATAGACATTTCATAAAAGTAACGATAGTGTTATGTTAAGTTTGAAATATATTTTTTTTCTGATCCAATCATTCATTTAGCTTCTTTATGACAATTTGTAAAACACTCGGGAATAGACAACATAACGTAAATAATTTAGTATTAAAAATATTTATAAGCTTTGAATTAGTAAAAATATCTATAAAATTGGTCGGTTAATGCCGTAACTATTTAAAAAACTTGGAAAACAAAACAATTGTTTACAAAATTCGAATCCGTGATCTAATTTATCAGTTAAAACACAAGTCTTAAAACTCATTTTATAGCCTAGAAACAAATCGTATGTATCCGTATCGTTAAAACTTTAATAATATTATGTACATAAATGTGCATTAAAAAAAAAAAAGCGTTATACCTTGTTTGAAAAGTAATATGATAATCAGTAATCATAGTTTACATAATAATATTTTTAAATTATATTTATACTTGCAATACAATAACATTAACAATACGTAAATGTATTATACATTTATACAACAGGAGAAACGTAAAATAAAAGTAGGTACTTAACGCAAACATTTTAGAAAAAAATATTTTTATTTTATTAACGTAATGTATTAAATAATGTATTCATTTTATATTTTAGAAGGTTGGAATGTTCCATCTTTTTAATGTTACCATATATCATTATTTATCTTAGAAAGTAAAACTTAATTTAATACTCCCAAAAATATCTCAGGGGGGGAGGAGCGTAAAATTACACCACTGAGACTAGAAAATGTCAAGTAATAGAAGTAAATAGAAGTAATAAAAGTAATAAAGTTGATTGTACTTGTAAATAAGGCATTGATAACTTTTTGATTATAAATTGTATAGGTAGTACTAATCCTAATTTTTCAGAAAATATACATATTTTGATATGTGAACTAAGTTCTGGTTTTTAAACTTTCTATAATATTTTCATATTTATCATATTTATTTATTAAGCATTACGTACTAGAGGATTTAGGTAATTCTCATCATCTACTAGAAATATTTATTTTTTTTTTTTATTCATGGTATTTAAATTAACAAAAAATTGTTAAATTCATTATTCTTTCATTTTTTTAGGCATCATTAGTTATAACGAAAAATTGGTGAATAATATAATTCTTACACTATTGAATATACTAAAAAAGTACCCGAGTTCTTAACCAATGATTCTCAAGAAAAAAAATACTACGTGAAGTGACGTAGAGCTCAATAGTCAATAGAATTAGTGTACAAAGATTTTTTTTTGATTTTATACATATTACTTCAGTAATTATAATAAAATATTGAAACGATAAGATAAATATACTTATATAATTTCATATTTTGCAACCAATGTATGACCTGCTGATGAATGTTCTACCAATCTATTTGATGTTCAAAAATATATTTATTAAATAGTGAATGTTTATAATTGGTTATGAATGTTTTAATTTAGGTTGAAATCAAAACAATTAAAAATACAAAATGATTTATACATATGCTTTGAAATAATTAAATTAAAAAAGTTATATTTTCTTTAACAAACGTATTAATAAACATACATTCATTATAATTAAAATTATAAATATGTGTTTTTTTTCATTTTGTAAAGTTATCATATTATTACCATTTATAATTATACGAATATATTATGTATATTAATGTTAAAAATCTTAGTTTCTGAAGCCATATAAATATATAACCCAATACAATCGATTATATGACAACAGTAATATCAAGTTAAAAAATATGTATCAATTTTCTTCTTGCACTACAATAAACAAAATTTATAGAGTATATAGTCAAAAGAAAATTAATTTGACTTAATTATTATTTTATTTTATTTCAATTCTTTGTAATGATATTAACATCATTATTGAATTTTAATTATTTACTATATATAATATATTTATTTTAATAAACTATATATTATTAAACTCTTTTACCTGAATTAATGAGTTCTTCATCGGTACATTCATCAATTGTTTTGGGAATATTAGGAACTTTAACTACAGCTACTGGATCCAATTTAGTCACTTTGCCGTAAGCCATAATACTCTGTAGTTTTTCTTTTTCCCCGTTGTAATTTTCTAGTAATTGTTTAAACTTAATTATTCATAAGGATAATTTACTAAAACTCATAATTTGGCTACAAAGTATTAGTACAAACACATATGGCATACTATTTTTTGTACAAATATTTTGCATTTACTTTGTCTCGTGCTCGGTTTGTAAGCTTCCGGTTCATACGCGCCAGACTCGATGATGTCTTTGAGCGTTCGTGGTTTAGTCGACCGATACCGTTTGATGGGATTTTCAGACACTCCAGACACTGGACGGTTAGATATCGTTGATAGCGAATCACTGCCGGATCTTAACCAACCCTGTAAAGATTTCCTCTGCAATGTCGTTAAACGGCTCTCCTTGATCAACTCTGCGAATAATGTTTAAAGAAAAAATTTTAATCGGATTTAATTACAATTATTATTCTGCATTAAAAAGCTACCTGTTTTATGAAACAGGCTGAATCTGATATTTTTAGTCCAAATAAATCAAGAAAATAATATAACATATACTGAATTTTTTAAGAAAAATTATTATTTCAATTCAGGATTGTTATAATCAAAGCCTAATGTGGAGCTGATCAATTATTGAAATAATACATTAAATATCATTTATTTGGTTGAATTATAATAATATTTATAAAAATTATCCAATAGTCAGTACTAAGTAATCAACTATTTAAACAGCAATAAAAATATGATTGAATCATTTATGTCATGGACTTGAAATATATCGTAAAAAAAATATTGAAAAATATATTGTTGTAGTCGCTGAAGGTTCAGTATATATTTGTAGTGTAAAAGTGTACTACTTATAATTATTTGCTTTCGAGATAAAATGTATAAAACAATACCTAATTTATTTTCTATAAAATATCTTGGTTATTAAAAACTTAGACCTTTTACGTTCAGAATGATTATAATCGCATACAATGATTTATTATTAAAATTAAATATAACACACCTTACATAATTAACCAGTAACCTACTAAATCACAAATTACATTTAACTCCTAGAACTATACAAATTTATTGTTGCCCACTTGGACGAATTTTATATTTTAATTTGTTATACATTTTATAACTATGTACTTTTTATCGCATGTTCTATTATTTTATAATCTTAAATATATAGATAAAAAAACTAAAATACAATTCTAAATTTTGTTTGAGTTTAAATGTCACTCATAAAATGTATATATTATACTATTATTTTTTTTTTTAAATAAAAGAAAAACCTAATCACATTTTTGCACTATTTTTATCAAAATGCTTTGTATAAATTATAAAACATATAATATTTTATATTAAAAATGGCATTGATATCATCAATTTGGTATTGTAAGCTTATTAAGTTTATTATTTTTCTAAAGAAAAGAAAGTACAACCTGCATATAAGTACAATTATTAATACTTTATTAAGAGATAAGAGTTCAACATTCAGATTTGTGTAGATAAGGAGTAACAATAAATTATAAAATCAGAAATTTGCATACATTTTGCAAAAGTGTTAAACTATACTACAATCTATATTATAAAATAATTTGTTAACTATTAATAAATATGTTATTTTTAAATACAAAATTTTATAAAGATCAGTTAATATAATTTATTATTTTATTTTTTTATTAAAATTGATTATTATTATAATTTTTATATTTTTATTTATCATGCAATGTAACCCAGAAAGTCTCATTAGAAGATAATTTCCGCAATAATATAGGAAGTACCCTACAGTACATATTTTTATTTTAGCAGGAATGACCTTTTCTAGTCTGGTGAACTTTTTTTCGTTAGATATACACAGTAACTAGGTATATACAGGCAAAACGACTAAACAAATACTTCGGAAGTGAGATAACTATTTTAAGTTTAATGTTGATTTTATACGACAATGTATATTTTTCATCAATTTAACACCAAAAGGACTTTTTGCAGTAAGAAAACGTTATTCAATACTTTTATATTGTATACTAGAATCACTCAAAAAGTCAACGATGAATAGTTATTTGGAATTTTGTCAAAGGTTAAATATTTTATTCGTTTATAAAAGCTAATTATAAAAAAAATATGAGATTTTATTAAGAAAAATTTAAAATACTAAATAAATATTCTATTCTTAACCCATTATATAATTTTTTGATAATAAATTAAATTTATAAGTTTAAAATTGAAAATGACGATACAACTAATAAACTTCCCAAGAGAAACAAAATACAATATAATACATTATGTATGAGTACGTTTTTTTTACAATCCTATGTGTGGAATATATCTATTATTGTATATAATATTATACTTTAATATTTTTTTTAAAAAATGAACAAAATTGAAATTCGATAAAATTAATAAATTCTTCTATAATTTTAGCCAATAGATACTTTTTGGTTTATCTTACACAAATACTATTTTTAATTTTAACATAAAATTCATAATTATACATGATCTTGGACTATTGATAACCGTTTACTAATTATAATATACTATTAATTAATAATTTATGCTATCATACCGTTCAAAAAATTTCCGAGTTTCTGAACTGTATTCAGATGGTCTAGATGCATTAAAGATTCCGCCTTGATTACAAATTTTTGTTCGGTACGCCATTTTAATCTTCTTACAATAATAATAATTGAATAATATAAGCAAACTTTTTAACCACAATTATTTTAAAATGAGTAATGTGTATTAAACTCTTTAAGAATATTATATCAATGAAACAGTCAATTTGACGGTACGTGGTTTACCATGGTAACTGACGCAATCGACATGATACTTAGTATCTACACATTACAATTAGACTGGAAATATAAAAATACTATTTATGTAACTTATTTTAAGGTTGAGTTAAATTAGAATTCTTTGTTTCGTAAATATTATTCTATACCATACTACTGCACAAAAATTATAATAGTACCTATAAAATACGTAAAAAAAAAGATTTATGTAGATTTTGATGATACAACTTAGTAATAAAATAAAACTTCATATTATAACATATTAATGAGGAATTAATGTAATTATACTTTCAATTTTCATCGGCTTGTAAAATATTTTATTTCCATGATATATATTTATAACAGTATGAGAAAAGACTGAAGGAAAAACATTTTAAATAGGTTCCTATCATACTTTGTTCTATCACATTACCAAAACGTATTAAAAATCTAATTAAAGTACATATTTAATTCAGTTATTAAAACGATTTATTAAAAACAAAATAGTATTAAAAATATAAAAGCGTGCACAAATAAAATTGTATGCCATGGTATTTTACTATTATTTTTAAAGGTTTAGAGAAATATATTTTTCATTATGAAAAATCGAATTTTTTTAATAATAATATTTGAGCCATCTTGCGGTGAAATATAGAACTAACAATTTGTGTAAGTCTCAAATATTAATCGAGTAGAGAGTGTTCGTTATTATTTGATGAAGAATATCGTCATTTCTGGAAATAATATTAAGTATAATTTTTTTAATAAGTTATAAATTATAATAAATTATGTTGATCTAAATATTTATAGTTATGTATTAAACAGCTTAACATATTTTTCGGTTGAGTTTATATTTTATTTAATGATATATTCAATATTTCTTTTAACGTTAAATTTGGTTTATAATAAATATAAATTAATTTTGATTTCTGTTTTAATAACGATATAAATTTTAAACATTTTGTCCCAAGTATAACTTTTTCATAACATTTTCAAACTCTGACTAAATTTAAAAATATATACCGAACTAGATAAGTAGGTATAAACTAGATTGAACAATGAACCTACTGAATTTTCTATGAATAATCTATGAATCAAAAAACTTCCTAAAGAATCTCAAGGATATTCGGATGTTGATTGACAAATCTCAACCGTAAATAGTAATCCGACTAACAACGAGACTCTTTTATAGGGGTACATATGAGGATGGGATAAAATCTTGTAAGAGTAAAACTATTTGTTGCCAGTCAGCAAAGTTTTATAACAATTCAAATATTGAGCCTTTCTCAAAAATAATAGCATGATTAAATGTAATCTTGTTAGAAAAATAAAAATACAAATTGTCAGATTACGGGTCAATAATCTTACAATAAAATACAACAATAATTTAAACATTGTTGCATAATTATATTTAACTAAAATAATACAGTTTAAATATTTATTTTAATTTTTTTTTTGGACCTCAAATTAAAACTAAAATAAATTAGGTATATATTGTAGTTTACCTCACAAATATTTTCATAGAGATGAAGTCAAAATTGATATTAGTTTAACACTAATTTCGTAATATTTAGTGTACTCACAAAACAAACAAGTTAAAATCATAAAAACAAAAAGTAATGTTTAAGCCCAATTATATCGTTTGCTCTGGATCAAAGAGATTATTATACGATAAACCTTAGGTCGATAATAGAGGTAAAAAGTTTCAAACACGTATCTCTCTTAAAACTTTTGTTCGTGTCCCTGTATATTTGTCGATAGGTATATTAATACTTACTATCTCTCATTAGATAGTTAGTTCTAATGCCGGTTAGCATTTAAAATAATAGAAGGTTACATTTATTTACATTCTGCAAATACGAATAGAGATTAATATGTCTTCAACGGGCTATAAAATTAGTCTACTAACTTCGCGCTATATAATTTCACATTTTGAACACGCAAACAATTGTAAAACTTAACAGCATCTTTGTCCTATCTTGTTTATAAGAAATTATAGTTATTAAATGTAAGTACAATCTAAAAAACACATTATTTACAAAATAATTAATACTTAATGAAATCGTTATTGTTATTAGGATGAACTCTTATAAATAAAAAACAAATAGGAAATATGTTATAATTTAGTTGTATTCATTTAAATATATAAATTAATGATAAATCGTTTGGATCAATCTAAATTTAATACAAAAATGAAATAATAATATATAAATATTATTATAATATTATAAAATTTTAACTGTGTATTGTAATTTGTAATATTAGTAATTAGTATAATAAACTATTTATGACTTGACCATTTAAATCAATGCTTGTACCCTTTTGGACTCATCAGCTATCAATTCGTCTGAAAGCAAACTGTTTAAAGTTTACATAATTATACATTGTAAAATTGTCGTACTGACACGCCCTGCTAAACTACATTAGACCAACGGGCAATAGGTGTTAGTTAATCTAGTCTAGTATTATAGTTTAGACTTAATAAAACAAATGTGTTTTCATCAATTTTAAAGAAAGAGACGAACGTAATTCTTGTCAATACGAGAAAATAATGTTTTATAATCTAAACACAGCATTTTTAGTAAGTATTATCTTTAAAAAAAAAAAAATATGACAATTAGGAAAACAGTAGTATATATTAACATGCCTAGCGATTGGTTTTATCATAATATTAACCTGTTCGTTCTTTATATTTGTAATAAGTTTTACCTACTATTGTAAGAGAACGTTAAGTGTTCATTATTTTTAAATTATTTATAAGAGTATTTATTATTTATTAACGTTAATTTATTTTAGGTAAAATGTAAAACTAAAAATTATTTTAGTTAACCAAATTGGTAAATTTCATTATTTTTATATTAATAAGTACTCCCTACCAACTGCTCCAAAGTCCGATATCTGGGTCTGCACCTAGATCGCCGACTAACTTGGGCAACCCACACCCACCTCAAGCGCCTCACCCTAAACAATCGATCACGTCAACTACACTACCATCTTACATCAAATCACCTAAATCTAAAAAATAAACTACTGATTTAAAAATTATTGTTCTTCAAACCTATATGGACCTACGGCCTACAACTCTGGGGAACTGGCAAGCCTTCTATATCAAAAAAAATACAAACGTTTCAATCAAAATATCTCCGGCAAATAACAAAAGCTCCATATTATGTCTCCAATGACACACTACACAAAGACCTATCCATCCAAACAGTTCTAAGCACTACCAAATAATTCTATAAACGTACATACAATCACAGACATCCACTAATAGCTGAACTCTCTATCCTCAAAATCCCCGGAGACCCCAGCAGGCGCCTAAAAAGATCGTGGTGCCGAGACCTATTGGCTGACTAACTATCGCCAAATCTCTCCCCGAAGTCCCAACATTGATTGACTTCTTCGATAATGACTACTGTCTCATTAAATACTTATTGTAAATATTGTTAACTATTATTATCACTTGTATTTATTGTAAAAAAAATATTTCACAGATTGTACAACAAAAAAAAAAAAATTAAATGGCAATAAGTACTTTTATTATGTTTAATTAAAATAATTTTTAATTTCTTGTGAAAATAAAAAAATATATGTATTATTGTCATAAAATATATTCTTCAACAATTGTCTTATTTATATTGACAATAATCTGAATAATCTAATTTTGTAAAGCTTTAAGATGTACACCAATTATTATTCATGAGAAAATGTTATTTTGAATTGGCGATATAACAATGTATAATTATTTTTTTTAATTTTAATATTAATTAATTGTTATTATATCTGTAAGTAACCACGCATTTTTAATTCTTTAGGATTTTAAAATAAATAATATTAAAGTAATATTTCTAATGAATAAATATTGGTTAGTCTAATATACATGAAGTTTAGATATAATTAGTAATTATTACAGATTATTATTACATGTTAAAAACACACTTATTTAACAAATTAAAATTAATTTACAACCTATATAACTTTTAGAACCTATCAATTTGGTAACAATTATATAAAATTGTGTAAAAATTAAAATAAAAAAACTACTTGTCATTTGAATAGTTAAAAAAATGTAGGTTTACACTTGACAAAATATAATAAATACTATTAAAAGAATATATTACAGCGGTTCCCAAACTTTTTTGATTCACGAATCCCCAAAAATAAAAAAATCAATCATGAATTTTTTTATTAGTGTATAGTATTATACTTATAGTGTATATGTGCAATATCAATATTTATATCGTGCCTCCCCTGTTAAGTGCTTACGCCTCCCAAGGGAGCCGCGTCTCACACTTTGTAACTGCTGATCTACTATATCTATTATAAAATAAGAAGATTTTGTTTTTAGTTTAGTTTTGTGATAGATCTTAAGTATTTTTAAAATTTTATGGATACTAAATATGTACTATTATACTTACTCAAAGTTTTTTTTTCAGTTTACTAAGCCAAGGTTATTATTATTATTAATATATTTACATACGTAGAGGTGTATAGCACTGCAATTTTTTTTAAATAATTGTCACATAGATATGTTATGCAAAATATGTAATAAAACTAAATATCTAATTACAATTTATCTCCAGAAAACTGCTTTAGAATATATCACACTCACATCATATTATAAGGATGATTACTCATGATGATCAAAGAAGATCCACATAACTTACTTGTGAACTAAAGTGCTCACATCTCAATTATATACATAAAGTAAGTCCTCGTTTAATGTTGAGGTAAGGTTTTTGGAAACACAAAAACCGGAAAAACGTTAAGTGAAATATTTTTACATACATTTTATAATGATGAGTTCTTGCCAATAAATAACAATGTACATATTATTATGTATTATTGTAATTGATATGATTACATGATTTAATTTATTTATTTATACAT